GCTGCTCTCTTTGAAGTTTGCTGTTAGCTGCCTTTGTCTTGTGCTCCCACTAGAATATGTGCTTTTAGCTTGCTGTCAGCTGTTCCACTCTGTTCTTTGATCGCTGTTCTTTGGCTCCTAAAAGCAGAAAATAATGAACCCGCTTTATTAAAACAATTGCTTCATATTTGGGAGGGATAAATGAAGGACTTTCCTGCGTGAATGTTCTGGCTCAGCAGTTACAAGACATGATTTCTGACGTGGCCCATGGAGAGCAGGCACAGAAAAGCAACCCGTGTGGTGCTCAGGAGCGTCCCCTCTCCACGCCGGCTGCACGGGGAGCAGAGTGCCAGCCCAGCCGCCAGCCTCTGGCGCTGCGCTTGCTTTGCAGCTGCAGGCAGCCCGCTCCCTTGCAGGGACAAGGGCCTGCCAGTGGCTCAGGGCTGTGTTGTTTTGTCCCAGAAAAGGTGTGCAGGCCGGGGTGGTGTCTTGATGGTTTTTGGGTCAGTGCTTGGGCCCTTCCCCCGGATGGGAGATTCTTAGGTGGCCAAGCAGCTCACAGTGCTGATCCTGCTGGAATCAAATCCCGCAGCCAGGCTGGGGATCCTCGTGTGCAGCTGCCCCTGGCTGGGCAAGAGTGGCCCTTGGGTTGTCCTGGTCTATATCCCCCCTGTATTTCCATAGGGGAACGTCAAGGAGATGAGGGCTGATTCAAGACCAACTCCTCTGGAAACACCGTGCTGCTGCTTCCAGGCTTTTGCCTGTTGCCCTGCAGCTTCCCCAGAGTGGCCTGCTGGGAGATCGTCTCCCTGAAGCCAAAGATAGTGTCTTAACTCTTTTCCTTTTTTTCTTTTATTTTTTTCTCTTTGTTTTCCTCTTTTTCTCTCCTTTTTAACAGTCATAAGTGCCGGAGGTGCATAAGGCTGAGATCTGCAGGAAGATCTAAAAGCTCTTTGAGTATCTAAGGCTTGAGGTACCTCAAACAGCTTTTCTTAGCAGAACTTAATAAGACAAATTAATCCTGGCCACTCAGCTGGTCCAAGGCACCGCGTGCTGCCCGGCCATTTTAAGTCACCTTGAAGTTAATGAAAAGTCTCCCACAGACTTCAAGGGGTGCCACATCAAACTGTGCACATCTTGAAAGGCAAATTCTCTGCCACGTGCCCCTTCCGCTCGCTTTTCAAGTGCCTTTATTGTGCTGTTCATATCGGACAATTAAAAATGCCTGCTCCCTGGGCAGCAGAAATCTGACAAACTTGGCTTGGGAGCAGGAGTGCTGACAGAGGGTGACACAGCTGTGTGACACGCGACCAGACTGTGACCCGAGCGGGAAGTGGAAGCACAGGCGCCATGGGGCCGTGCTGGGCAGGGACAGCTCTTCTCCGAGGTATCTCCTGGCCTGGCTCTGATCCACGTTGTTCTCTTCCCTTCTCTCTCTCCTTGTCTAGAACTCTTTACTGGGAAACAAGTGACTTGGCTTCTAGAGCCTTACAGTTTGCTGGCAAGAAAAGGCAGCCTTCTAGGCACAGGCCTTGTTGTATCTCTATGGAAACTATGGGGTTTTCCATGATGATAAAGCATTTAACAGAGCTCCATCTTGAATATCAAATTCTGGATGGAATTTGGGGAAAAGTCCGGCGGGTGGTGGTGCCCATCTCCCTTCATATTATCACCCTGTGAGGAGACTGTCACAGAGGCTGCTCCTCGGAGACCTGAGGCGTAAGGCCTTAGGGCTGGTTATGGATAACACTGGAAGTGCCCGCTTCCCTTCCTGCAGGTGGATTCAGAATTATGATTAAGACTTTTTTTTTCTTCTTAACTGACATTTCAAGGCACAATGAGCTTTTCGGGTGTACAAGTAACTTGGTATTGATGCTTCAGTTAGAGGCAGGAATTGGGACTCAACAGCAGCCAGTTTTTCTCCTGTGCTTTAATGATCTCTTCTCCTGTCAGATGCTTCTTAGTCACTGCTTCGTTTTTATACAGTAGTAACATGTGAGAATCCTGCCTCGCCCTAGGGAGATGGCCATCTAGGTGACTGCAGTTTTCTGTTGCATTTTTGACTTCTTTCCCATTTTCCAATTAATGTGATTCCCTACTACAGTCTTTGAAAACCAATTAGAAAAAAAAATCAAGAAATGTTTAATGTGTAAAGCAAATAAGTGACTACAGAGCAGCAGTGGAATCTTTGGTATTTCAGCAGTCTTCCAATTAATAGATTTCTGTATTTAATTAAGGGCTGCATGAATTTTGTTTGGCTGCCTCTGCCTATTTTGATTATGCTAAGGAGAAAAGTTCTCCTTAGAGACAGAAAAGGCCAAAATTAGTATATATTTAAATTTATTTTTTCATATACATATATATGTGTGTGTGTGTGTGTGTGTATTAATGTCCCACATTGGCTTTAAAAATTATTGTTATTGTGAGCATATTTAATGGGTATTTTAAAGGAGATCTAGCAGTTTAGAAAGCAAATCCAACATGAACATGCTTAACAGATGCAGAGGCAAGCACAGGAGAAATGGCAGCAGAAAGGGAATTATTTTCAGAGCTTTTATAGTTACCAAAGAGCGAGGGTGAAATCTGGGATTTATAGACAGTCATTGAAAAATTTACTGGCTTTTTTTCTTTTCTTTTTTTTTTCCTTTTCTTTTTCTTTCTTTCTTTTTTTTTTTTTTTTTTTTAGAGCAGGATTTAAACTCTGCTTCTGCTCTTAACTCTTCCAAGGAGAAAAGTCTTGAGGCAATCTTTCATATGAAGGCCTTAATTATTCATGATAAACTGTTTGTTCAATCACATTACAAAAATGGCTTTTCCCCCCCTAATGCTGCTTTTGCAAGCTCTTGAGGAACAGTCACGATGCAGACAGGCTGCCTGATGTGCTGCAGGGAGCAATTTTCGTGTTTGCTGTGACTTCGTGTGGCTCCTCTTTCTTGCTTGCCGCTCTCTGTGTGGCGGCGCTGCTGGAGCGGGACCTCGCTGTGTTGCTGGTTTCTGCTGCACTGTTTCCTGCCTGAGAAGGAGCAATCAGAGCAACTTTTCCTTTGGAATTCTGAACGGGGCCTGCTTTTTTTTCAAATTGCATCTTCCCCATAGTATTTAATGGCAATAGTTTTTGTTACCAGACAACTTAAGCTTGTGCTGGCATCTGCTTTGAAAAGGAATGTAATACTCTAAAGCAGAATAAGATTAGCAAATTCGTTTTTATAGCTAGAAATCACGTCCTGATGGTTCACCTAATCCAGTCCCTTGGCACTGATGCAGGACTGCGGTCTGCACGGCACCGGGCACGGCTGCCGCAGCCACCGGGGGCAGCCTGGGCTGTTGCACTCGCTCTGCAGAGCTTGCTGACAAAGGCACTGGCACTTCTCTTGGCATTTGAGCTCTCTCTGAACAAGTTAGCATGTGTCTTCATGTAACACTCCTCTGCAAACAGAAAATGCGCCCTAAAGGAGTTTGCAAAGGTCATCCTGTATTTCATAATGCCCCTTCTAACACAGAGCCTAAAAGAGAGAGAAAACTTCTTCCTCCCTTTTTTCTTTTTTTTTTTTTTTCCCCTCTTCCCTTAATGCATTTAGCTGGCTAATATGGAAGGCATGCAGAACATAAGCTATCCAACCAACTATGAAATAAATGCTAGAATCAACTGCTTAATTCTCTTTGCATTAGGGTAAAGCATATGGGTTTAAAATGTCTTCAGTGAAGAACTGCTGAATATGGGAAATCTTTTCTACAATCTCACTGTAATAAATCGAAAAGAAAGTTCAAGTGTAAAGATTTGTGGGGTAATAGCTATAGCTAAAGGCAAGCTTTTCTGCAACTTGGTTTTTGAGACAACCTAGTTGCCTAACAGTTGAATCAGTAACATTAGTTAATTGGCATCTCTGGAAATTTGGCGTTTATTCAACCCAAGTTCTTTGGGGTTCCTCAAATGTAAAAAATCTATGAAAATACTTCCAGTCTATTAGCTGAAATGGAAGTGCCAAGAACTTGCCTGTACCAAATAATAACAGGCTCCAAGTTATGGGATTATCATCCATTCCAGACCATTTTTATGAGGCTGCTGTAGCTTAATTTGCCCTTCATTTGCATGCAGCCTAGAACTGCATTTAAACAAAATCCTGAGCAGGCATAAATAGATGAATTGCCCTCCTCTATGCCAGGGGAAGACGAGAGTGTCTGCATGTGCACGTGAACAGTCTTACCGTGGCAGCAGTGTGTTTTCTGGATGTTGGTAATGGCACGAAACAGGCCAGCGTTTAATGGGTAGCTGACACCAGGAGGCCTCTACAGGAAGGGCAGGTGGGAAGGGGAGAGGTTGGTGCAGTCCCTCGGCAGACACTGGTGCCCGGGTTGGGGTCACAGAGCACACGCAGTCGGGCACAGCACGAGGAGGGGCCAAGGAAGTCACTGAGCGGTCAGAAGCTTGCACCCGTCCGCGCGAGGCAGCAGTGCAGAGCTGCACGTCCAGGCTCTGATCCTGCTCGCAGGATGCCCGTGCAAACACTCACAAAGTTTCACTGGGAAAACCTGTCTGAGTTTGACCTAAGTGCAGGCAGGGACACGAGAGCTCTGCTCCCTCTGATTTACTGTTTTCTTATAATAGACCAGACGTAGCATTTTAATAAAAATGAAGCTGTGGTAGAAACCATAAATTGCCTTCAGCTGCAGCAGCAAGTGCACTCTGCTACTTCCAGAATTACTCAGGAGTCATGTCTAATCTCACTAGCCCAACTTACCCTTTCCCTCTTGCTAGAGGTCAGCATTTCAGTCCCATTTGTCTTTCTCATCTTTCCTATGTGCTGTTAAAAGAAAGAAATTATAATAATATTTCTGAAATTATCATACCTCAAAGAAAGGTGTAGAAGGAAATGCTAAGATCAAAGCTCAATGCCATCCAGTAACCACTGGGAGGCTACAGGGAAAGATCTCCTTTATTTTAGCATTTTTCATACACAGATGTACTATATTTTATAAAATAAAGTTTTATTTTTACCAGCAGAAGCATCTAAAAGTTAATCTCCAATTCCTGATGAAGTAGACTTCCTCTTTCACTGGTTTCTCTGAAAGGTTAGTGGATGATGTTGGTATTTTGTTCAGAAAATAAAATCTGAATGGATGCAGTGCATTTTGAGGGCTAGTATTGTTTAACCCCTGAAGTCCAGTTTCATGCTCAATATTAGAGATATCATCCACATGTCTCGTGGTTTATCTTTTCCATCTCATTTCTCAAGAGGAGCATAATTCAGAAGCTTCTCAATCAGATCCACGTGGGCTAGGAGCATTCTGCGACAGCAGTATCTCTTCAAACCAAGGGCATCCAGGGCATCTCTATTAATGTACACGGTGGGAAAAGGAGAGAAAAAAAAAGTCAGAAGCCTTTTCAAGTATTCCTAAGCAACATACTGATTACTTTGAGCTTAGTCATAGAAGAAAGCTTGTTTCCAATTTAAACCAAGTAACTGAGAAATTTAGCGTGAGCTGCTAATGTTGTTATTTGCTGCCATTGACAGGATGTTTGCCTGTTCTTCCAGCCTGCAGAAGACTCCTCTTCTCTTAAATGTCGTGCAGGCAACACAAGGACCCAGCAGAGGTAAGTCTGAATGAAGGAGTACAGAACCATACAAGGCTAGTTCTTAGGCACTGCCTCTCTGAACCAGCCTGCTCATGTGGACATAGTTCCTCACAGATAGTGTGGTTAAGTGAGATGCACGTACTGGAGTTCTGGAAATAAATTTCTGGTCTTCATAGTTGAAAAGGAACATGGAAATGACACGTTTTAAACCCTAGTTACTTTATAACAGTAACTTAGTTTTATTTCTCAAACCTGATTTCTTAGAAAAGGGAGGAGTTAATCTGGTTAAAAATCTGAGCAATCAAGAGCTGTTAACATAGTTATCAAGAACACAGCTCTGAAACATGTCATTTCCTCTCTTAAATCTTGGACAGACCATAACTGCCCGTGTTAGCTACATCTCCCTCAACTCTTATGGTAGGAAGTAGCACAAACTTCCCAAAGCACCGGACCTCTTACTGACCTGTGACAGCATTTTCGCTCTTTAGCACCAGCCGACCAACTATAAAGCCAGTCTGATACGCAGTCAAAATCTGACATTTATGAAATGAGACTGAATTCAGATCTTTACATTTATATTATGCAGTGCAACAATCTAGCATTTGATTTAAAAAAAAAAAAGAACCATGGTAAAGGTTGTCTGGCTTCATGCAGTGCAGCCTAAATACGTGCAGTAAAGCCGCAGCTTCTGGGATGCTGTCAGTGAGTCTTTAAAAACATGTAATTCCTGTGCAAGATTTGAGTTATGTAGAAAAATCTCAACTTTCAACTGCAGTTACTAGTATTCTGTATCTCCAATAATGCCTACAAATTTAGAAGTCATATATACTATAACGTATCATCTAAAACAGTATAAGCACTGTAGTTTTCAGGTTCCTTTAGCTTCCATGGACTTGAGAAAAAGAGCAGTTTTAAGGGACTTTTTTTTTTTTAACTATGTTACTTAGACAAATTTGACTTCTTCTACTCTATCTGCTTCTCAAAAAGTAGTATTTGAAAAGTAAGAATGGATTTCAGCATTAGTAAGAAATGATTTGCAGCTACCATAAAACCTGTTAAGATTTACCCTAGAAAGGGATAGTGAAGTCTGTGTTGTTTATACACATTCTTTTGACAGTTCATAGACATTAGTCCATTTTAAAACCTATTATTAACCTTAACTATTTGAATGAAAAACAAATATTCCTTTAATATGTCAAACTTGTTGCTAACCACAGCAGAAGCAGATGTGAGGCAACTTCCACTGAAGTGTTTCACTGTAACTTGAGGAAGCTCCCAAACTCCTACGATGGCATTTTCCAGTCTCTTGCCTTGCAAAGGTCAGTTCTTCTCCTCCATGTTTAAGCTTGATGACAATGTAAATGTTTCACAAGAGTTACCTTTTGCTGAACATTTAAAAGTAGTCCCACCATAGCCAGGCTCTCCCTGAGCTATTAAAGGGCAATTCTGGTCACGCAAGGGACATGCATATTCTAAAACAGAACTGTTGGGGTTATCAGCCAGGTATTTAGGACAGTTAAGCTGTCTCCCTCGCCATGGCCAAACCAGAGTTTTGAAATAAAATTAGCAAAACTAGATAGCAACCATGAAGCGTTTTCACAGATATTTAAAAGAGGTATATACCAGCACCAACATTTGTTATTTCTTCTGTTTATAGCTTCCTTCTCCTTGAATAAAAAGGTGGAGGACAACACCAGCCAAACGCGCAGGTGCAAAGGCTGCGTGCAGCTGCTTCCCCCTCTGCACAAAGCGGTATATTTGAAACTGTTTGCATTTCAAGAATAAGACCCGACAATCTGCAAAGATTCAAAAGGTAAACAAGCTTTTTTTCCTTAACGCTTTGAAGTTATTGCTGTTATCATCAGAGTGTATTTATGGTTTTCGGTTTATTTAGGGCTGTCCCCTTTGGCCACAGTTCCCTCAGTGCCGTGCACCTCGCACGGGAGGCGAGGATCAGCACCCACCCCTCCGTGTACTCCGCTTGCAGAAGGCCCAGGTAAGCTTCCCACTTGTTCCCAACGATTTTGCCGCACGTGAAACACCTCACCGGGATGATCATTTTCCCGCGGTATCTGCAAGGCACAAACATAGCACGTGTGTCAGTATGGCCCTTCCCGACACGCAGCACGGGCCCGCCCCAGCGTCCAGGCCGGGCCGAGCAGCGCCTCCGCCATGTCGGTGCGGCCTCCCCGTGCCGCGCCGGGCCCGGCCTGGCGCGGGGGAACCGGGCAGCGGAGCCGGCGGCGGCTGCGCGGGGCGGGCCGGGGCGATCGCGGCCGGCGGCGGCTCCTCCCGTAACGGCTCCTACCGCGGCGGCTCCTCCCGTAACGGCTCCTCCGTAACGGCCGCTTCCACCGCGGGGGAGGCGCCGCCGGGAAGGGAGGCTCGCTCACCCCCGCCCCGCGCGGGGCTGCCGCGGCGACTACGGCGTCCCGAGCGGCTCAAGAAGGCGCGCGCGCGGGGCGGGCTTCTGTTCGCGTTTCGCGTGTGCCGCGCTGAGTGGCAGCTGGGGCGCCCGGAGCGCAGAGCGGCGGCGGCGGCTCTGGCGAGCAGGGCGTCCGCTCCTCCTCCTGCCTCCGCGCCGGGCGGCACTTGTTGCTTCGGGAAAGCGGCTCCTGCGGCGCGAGGCTTCTGCTGCCATCCCGCCCAGGTACTCAAGCCGTCCGGGGTGGGAAGAGCAACTGGTGGCTGCAGCTCGTCGGGCGCGGGGCGGCGGGCGTGAGGGAGCCCCGGCGGGCAGGGCTGGGGCAGCCGCTCGGGGTGTCCCGCGGGCAGCGCGCTCGCCTCCCCGGCGCGCTGAGGGGCGAGGGAGCCCGCGGCGCGCAGACACCCCGCCGCCCTGGCTGGGGGCGCCTCGGGCTGCGCCGCCCTGGGCACCTCGCGCGGCAGCCGCTCCCCTGCGCGGCCCTCAGGGGGCCCGGGCGGGGGTCGCGCGGGGAGCGGCGCCCAAACGGCCGGCGGTTCGAACCTCAACGGTCCGTTCGAATCTCAACGGTCGGCTGCCCCCCTGGACAGTCCATTGGAACCCCAGCGAGCGGCTCGTGCCGGCGGCTCGAACCCCAGCGATCCGTTCGAATCCTAACGGTCGCCTCGGGCCGGCGGTTCGAACCCGAGGGGTCGCCCGGGGCCGGCGGTTCGAACCCCAACGGTCCCTTCGCTCCGCAACGGTCGCCCCGCGCCGGCGGTTCGAACCGCAACGGTCCCTTCGCTCCGCAGCGGGCGGCTCGCGGTCCCGCTCCCCGCCGCGGCCGGTCTCCAGAGACGCGGGACGCCGCGGCCCCGGGCGCGCCGCGCTGCTGCCGCTTCCCTCGGGCAGGAGAAGGCGCTGGGAAGCACGGGCTTCCACTTCGGTTTATATCCATCTTTGCCTGCCCAGTCTCAGTCCCAAGTGAGTTTTGTGTGGTGTTTTTTCCCTCTGCACATTCCAGGCAACGTTTACTTTTATTCTTTTTTTTTTTTTTCCTTAATTTCCCTTGAAACTTGGTTAAGTTGGGGATGCAGTCGTGGTTTTAGGTTGGTCCAGAGTTTCTAAACTGGGGTCAGACTGAACTTGACAGTCTTCCATATAGCTCTTAACATTATTCTGCCTTGCTGTGAGTTGTGTGTGGTTAAAATGAAAAGAGGCAGCTTAGCAAGAGCGTGTGCCATCCTCCAGTTACTGCCTCCTGTTCAGGTGTTGTTGGTGCAACCTGCCTGAATAGGAGCATTTTTCCCCGCCTGTTGAGGGCTGAAGGATGGATGTGCCCTGTACTTTGGATGCAATGTTCAGTTGCAGTCAAAGCTGCCAGTTTTATTGGATATACCAAGCTGAGAAGGTTTGGTAGCATGGGAATGCATCTTGAAATTGTTTACTGGTGTTTTGTTAATCTAAGGATTGGGGAAGTATTAGGCACAGACTGTGCTTAGCAGAGGGAAGTGTGCTGTGATGACCATAAACTTCAGGAACAGAACCTGCTATTTTGGAGACTCTGGGATGAAGTATTCATCTGAACACTATCAATTCTCATTGCCCAAAGATAAGTAGCATAACCCTAATGCTAGCGCCTAAGAAGAGAATGGAGCAGAAATTCTCCCAAAGTGTTTTATTTTCCTGCTAAAGTATCTCTGAGTTGATACAGTGTACAGCACAGAGCTATTACTGCCTGACATATAAATAATTGTGTCTTAATGCAGAGCTTACGTTAATACGTCTTTTGTGACTATTTTTTGAATGACTGGATTATTGACCCTCTGTGCAGAGACAGTAGACCTAACTTGAACTGTAAATGAGCAAATACTTCTATTTTAATAAGTAAGAATTTGAGACTGGAAGAGATTTTACAATTCTCCTAATGAAAGGATGGCAATTTTTGCAGTCACAAGAATGATAATTATGCTCAGTTGTGAAAAGACTGAATTCGTGGCATGGAGAGTAGCTGAAGCTCCTGTGATCTGTAGATTATTATCATTATTGTTATTATAGGCCAGTAGGAGCCAAACTGTGCCTATTCTTTCTATATTTTTTATTTATTATTTTTTTTTTAATTTTTTTTTTTTAGCCTTAGTTGGGAATTTAGAGATTGTACTTTGATACATTTTCAGCACCAGGGCTCCAAAGTAATTTTCTTGCTCAACTGTGCAGTGAAGGCATTTGTGTCTGGAGGTGGAAATTTGCAATTGGGAGTGAAAAAGGAGATACTGTCACGGGGGTTTAATGGTGAGCCATGGCGTTAGAGAAAGGTTAGGGTCTTGCAGCAGCCTTATAGAAATATGGTTGTTTATTTCCCTCCCCAAATAAACTGAATTTTAACTTTCAGACCTAGCTCTCAGATATGACTTAGCATCTTTTTTTTTTTTTCCAAAAATTTTTTTTTTTTTTTTTTTTTTTTTTCTTCCCAAGAAATTTTTACTCTGCTGTTCTCAGTGTTATTTTTAACATCTGTTGCATCTTTTCTGGATAACCCGATTTGGCTGGGTGATGGACTTAAGGATCTAATGGGTCTTTTATGGCTGTAACTTCTTTGATCCTAGAAAATGTAAGTGGTGTTTTTTTGTCTATGACCTGGAAAGATTGCTACATACTCAGAACATTCTCTGCTCAACTTTTGCTTAATTTGACAGTTTGCCAAACCACAGTAGTCTAAGAGTTGAGGGGGAGGGGAGGAGAGTGATGTGTGTACATGCAACTGTTCAGAGTCAAAGTCAGTGTTTTATAGGCTGTAGCTCATGCGAATGAGGGTAGCTGTGCTACTTTGTCCTGCGTATAGTTGAGCCCTTATTTGTAGTATCACAGCTTCCAACTGTTCTTTTTTTCAGGTGAACTGGGTGCTGCTGACATTCAGCTGTTGCATATTAGCACTTAATAAAACTAGGTCTCTTTAAACACTCTTCTGTGAAGATTTGGAGTTACTGCAAATTCTAAGACTGTGTGATCTTTCTCAGAATGTTTGTACGTTCCCATTGTGTTCCTGGCCCCGTTCCTTTGCAGCAAGCAGCAGTCCTCGGACTGCCCGATTCTTTAGACATTAAGAAAAGTGATAGTCAGCGAACCCATCAGGCTACACCTCAACACTGAGCAGAGAAGGCTTGCCTAGAACCAGCAGATTGAAAGAAATTTGAAAACCAAACTGGTTTTCCAATGTGCTTCTGGAGCAACAGCATCTCTATGTGGTTTTCATGTCATGTTGCAGCTAATAATGTATCCAACTAGCACTTCCAGGCCTTCTATTTGTGATCTGAACAGTTTTGAAAGCCAACAATACTCCTTCCAGCCGTCATTGGTTGGGTTGAGGCCCAGCGTGCATTTAGACCTACAAAATGTGCCTACGCATGATTGTTCTCTTACCAGTGAGTACTGAAATCCTCCAGCTGTGACTAAGTAGATCCTCCTTCCTACTCTTCCATCCCCAAAATGTAAGGGAATGCACTGCAACTTGTTTAAAACAAACAACAATAAAAAAGTTAAAATGACCTGAACAACTGAACTCTTCCTCAAGTTGATGGTAACAGGTTGTCTTCTGTAACCTTGTCTCTGTGATTAGTGCTCTAGGAAGGAGTTGCGCTTGTGCTGATACTAATGGCTTGCTGAGAAACTTGGGGCTTGCAGCTGGGATTTTTGTTTTATATTTTCTTTTATGTCAGGAAGCAGCTTGCCCTTGGTCAAGTTTAAATGTGCAACCTCCTCCTCTCACAGGTCTGGAGACTTCACTGTTTTTCACCCTTCATAGTTGTCCCCTTTGGCTCTGCTTATTGCTTCGTACATGTCCAGAACTCAACAACTCAACCAGGGTCTTTCCAGATCTGATTTGGCAGTTAGCTAGGGGATGTATTCAGGGAGCATAAATTGTCATGTAAGATCTAAATAAAAAAAAAAAAAATTCCTTAAAAATAACTCTTTTTCAGTAAAGGAGTATTTTTACACAGTTGATCTTGACTCGCAACTTTCTGAAAATCTCAGCGTAGTATGTAGCCCTGTTGGCTCTGCTTCTAGTTAGAGCTTTGTTTCCAGTTTCTCCCTGCCTTTTCGTTTTGCCTCTGACTAGCTCATCAGAACTGCATGCATCATTGCAAAAGTTAGTGATATTGTGTTCAGTGTTGTACTCCTGATCTTTCAACAAGTTGTAGAGGAAAGAACCCTAAAGGGAAAAGACTTGCATGAATGTTCAGGTGAGTGGTTAAACTGCATACTGATCAGGAGCTGAAAAGTGGCATGGAAAACTTAGCAAGTACTTAAAAGCAGAGGGGAAAAAGGATTAAAAACAAAAACACAGACCAAAGCTTTGCTGCTCTCTTGGGCACATTATCCAGTCCAAAACTATTGAATACAGCAAACTTGCTGCTGGGCTTTCTCTTATCCTGGAGAGATACTTCCTATATGGAAGTGTGTTGTTCATCGCTTTTCACAAGAGGGAAAGAAAAGTGGCTCCCTCTGGAGCTAGCTAGTGTGATTTGATTAGGGCTTCCCTCTTTCCTATTAGAGCTGAATCAAGGAGCAAAGACTGAGCTGGAATCTTGATTTGTGCAGGTTTAGTGTTTTTAGTGTTTTTTTTCTTTTTTCTTTGCTTTGCACTCTTGAGTGGGTACCTTTCTGCTGCATTATGCTCCTACCTTCCCCCCAGTTCATGGGATGCATTTTTTTATGGGATGGTGGAGAAAGCCAAGAGGGAAAGACAGGGATGGCAGAAGGAGGAAACACTCTTACTTTACGTTGTTTAGTTACCCCCATGCTGTTTAATAGCTGCTGTGGCCCCTGGATTTAGTGAAACAAATACAGAGGCTGCTAAGCAAATGGAAATGAAGAGAAACATCCCTAAGCTGGGGATGTGACTGCAGCTTCGCTGTAATACCAGAC